CTGCAAATACGTTAATGACAACATGAACTACTGCCCAGATGTCACGTTTCAAGTCCTTTCTCAACAGTGCAAGAAATTAAAAGGTATCATGCTTCTGCTCCAACTTCTAAAAAAGAAAAATCTCCTCTCTATTTCCTAGTCTTTCCCAGCTTACCAATAAACCTGGCTCTGAATTCCATTAACCAAGAATTGTCCCACACTCTGACCACCCGGTCAGCTCATTCTCTTGATGACTTTAAGAAGCAGCTGAATGAAATGAACAAACAGCACCAGCACCAGGCAGGGACCTCAGAATCATCTAGCCAATGGCGTTTCTCGCCACAGATGCCCCCAGGCCCCTCCCAGCCCTTGTTTACATTCATGCCTCATTGCATATGAATTGGCATTCGGACTCCTCTTTTTCTATACTAAGGAAGGTAGGAGCTGACCTCTCTGTGGCAAAATGTGGATTTTACAGTCAACAGCAGGGGATGAGAGCCATTTGGTAGACAGCAGGAGTCCCGTCTACATAGCCCGGGGTTTCCAAGTCACCGCAGTCTTCCAGCCTTACATTTTGCCAGTTGGGTGCTCTGTTTCTTAATCTGAAGGCAGGCACCAAAGTCCAAACCCGCCGCGTTGCCTAGGCATTCGCAACCCTACCAGGCATATCCTGGACAAGAAGGTGCTTGCCTGGAGCACTCATGGGGAGCTCTCTTCTTTCCACTGTTTTGCACTGTGTGCTCTGTTGGCAGCTGGAAAGAACTTCACTACCTCCAGTGGCTGCTTATGGGGTAAAGTTTACTGGGCACGCACTGAACGTGGGCACAAGACCAGTCCCCAGAGCCTAGAGCCGGCTGTCTGTGTACAATCTAGGAGTTCAGAGTTTTGCTTGCAAATCATTACACCTGCTCATAGTCATCCGGCATTTTGGGGAGAGGGGCTAAAAGAGAAATCCTCATCAGGCGCCTAGAACCTCATTGCTTCTCTTTTAGGATTTGTCTGAACCCAGACCTGTCTCCCACAGACAGTTTACACCTCTTATCTGATCATCCACTCCAGACGCAAGGTTGATTGACCGCGTCTGCCCGTGTCCATGGCAATGGTGTTTAAACCCAGGCATAGATCAAAGCTCTGGGGGCGGGAGAGGGAAGATTGCTGGTTATAGGGTCTGGGTTCTTTTGGCCACAAGCGACGTGTCCCGGGGGTGGAGACGTTGGGGCTGGGAGTTGCCACCATCTGAAGAAACCCATTGTCAGGACCTGAACAATTTCCTGAGCAAACCGCAGACCGCCTCCCCCCTCCTCCTCGTCACCCCCCCACCCCACGACGATTAACTCGAGCAAAGGGGTGAGTAGTGCCGGGCGCTGACGAGGAGTGGCTAGCGCCAGGGGGCTCTCCTCTCTGTCTGAAGCCGAAAGGAAAGGAGGAGGAGGGAGGGCGGCGAGCCGTGAGCACACGCCAGTACACCAGAGCGTGGATCCCCTCCCCTTTCAGAGAAATTCAACCGGAGCTGCAGAAGCTGCGACACGGATGAGCCGGATCCCCTAAGCTTGCCAGGAAAGCTGATTCCCACCCCACCCCCACGGTTCCCAGAGGAGAGGCCGGTTCATTCCACCGCCCCCCCCCGCCCGCCCCGCCGCCAGCCCCTGGACCTGGCCTCTGCTCTGCGGGGCGCCCCCCACCCAGCCGCCGGGCTCCTGGGACCCGGCTGGAAAAACTGCGGTGCAGTCAGCCCGAGGCAAAGGGTGGGGGGCAGCCATTTAATCACAGCTCGCCTCGCCTCCATTAACTTGTGGATATTAAAAAGAAATCAATCAGTGAAAATGAAGCGTTGGCTGTGAATATTTCTCTTTCTCACGTGGAAAAGCAAGGAGCGAGAAGGCGGGGGAGGGGAAGCTGACCGCGCCGGCGACTGCAGAGGTTTCTCCCCAGCGGAGAACCGCAGCGGCGACTTAACTTTCTGGCAGTGGACAGCGTGGAGGAAATGCTGCAAGCCTCTCCCTGGGGGTGTCCTTAGTCAGGAAGGAGGAGGGGACAAGACTGGAGTTGTTGGAGGCAGCCAACTTCTCCCAGTCTCGAGCCTCGGTTTTGCTTTCGCTGTAATATTTTTGCTTAATAGAATGTTTATGGATCGTTCGGCTCTGTTTCTGCTGCGTAGCCCAAACAAATCGATGCAGTGTTAGAGACGGCGCTGAGGGGTGGGGCAGGCTGGAGGGCCACCACGTCCCCGCCACGTGGATGCCCGCGCGCCGCGTGCTCCTCACCTGCTCAGGCGCCGGGGCGGGCGCTGGGCGCTGCTAGGAGCGGTGCGAGTTGCGCGCATCCGCAAGGCTAGAGCCGGCTCCCCTCCGCCCCTCTCCGCCCTCGGTTCTGAAATCACACCCTGACTTCCCGCCTCCCAGTTCGGCCAGCGCTCGGATCCCCAGCTCCGCCGATCCCGGACCTCAGCCCCTCGGAGTCGGCCCTCCAGGGGCGGCCGGGGGAATTCAGCGCAGAGCAGGGCGCGGGAGACAGGAGGGGGCGCTCAGGGCAGGGCCCACCCGGCTGCCCCGAGCCCCCGAGCCCCCGAACCCAGGCAGAAGGAGGCAGACAGGCAGGCAGGCGGCGGGTCAGGGAGCGGGGGGGCCTGGAGCGCGCAGCCCATGCGGCCTGCCGACCCACCGCCCGCCAGTCCGAGAGGCTGCCGCCGCGGCCGCGGGGTTATTTGCTCAGTCGCTCCCCCTCCTGCACCTTCCGCCCTCCCTTTCCCCTGACTCCTTCTCCGAACGGGTTCCCGCCACCGCTGCCGCCGGCTGGGCTCAGCCCCCTCCCGGCAGGCGCGCACCGGGTGAGTCAGAGGTTTAGTAGGGCCTCGCCCTTTGCCAGCGGCTGCCAGCTCCTCGGGTGCCAGTCGGGTCCTCCGACGGGAAGCCCTAGCTCCCCGCGGCTTGCGATCGCCTTTTTGAGGGGCTGGAGAATATCCACCCAGGGCGGATCCCAGCCCCGTGTTCCACAAGGAGGTCCCACCCCGGGTGCCCGGCTGCCTGCGGCGTCTTAGTGGGTGACCTGCTCCGCGCTCCGCGCCTCTGGGCTTCTCTAGAAGTGACGCAGCGCGGCCCGGGGCTAGGATGGGAGGGGGCTCTGCGGAGAGCGCGAAAGGCAGGTGGCAGAGCGGGAGTGGGTTCGAGCGGGTGTCGCACGCACACGTACACTCCGCGCAGCGCTCGGGGACAGATGTGCGAACATCTGCGGTAGGAGATGGCCTCTGAGTCTTTACGACCCCTCCCGCTCCGCAAAGCACACGGAACCTGAAGTTGGGTGTGTGTGTCCGCGCGCGCGCGCGTGTGTATGTGAGAGCGCGCGCGCGGCGGTGTGTGCCCCAGTGTGCGCGCGCTCGCCGGGGCCTACTAGAGTCCGTGCCTCAACACATAATATACCGTGGGCATCTTCACCGCGTGCGCGCGCGCAAACACACACACACACACACACACACACACACACACACACACACAGCGAATCACACAAACATACATAATTTATGCAGCATCTAGGTCTGTGGGAGGTAATTTAATTTCGCTTCAAGCTGGGAACTTAGAATTAAGCAAGAGGGGATGGGGAGACAAGTGAGACCTGCGCCCATCTCTTTGATCCGATTTGCGGCTGCCCTGAAGACCGGCTATATGGCAGAGAAGGAGCAGCAAACCTGTGATCTGGATAGCAAAGGCGATCCTCAGTCTTCCTTCCCCTCAACTAAACACTCGAGCTTAAATGGGGTGTGTTGGCGGCGAGAGCCAGAGCACCAGGCAAACAGCTTCCCCTCTGGGCTCCCGCAGGACCCCCTATGCCGCGGTGATGGAGGGGAGGGGCCCAGGAAGCCGCAGGGGGTTAGCCCTACCCCGGCCGCCCTCCGGCCGTAGCCTTGGAAGTGCCTTCCACTAAGGGCACTTCACGGAGGCTTTATCTCCTCGTTCTCTTTTCCCAGTTTCCTCCATAGATGGTTTCCCCAATCTCAATCACCTGTAGCAGCTTCCAAGAGTTTTGTCAGATTCCCCACACTGTTTTCAGAGGGGAGAGAGGCTCACTCTCGGGAGAGTGGTGTGGGGAAGGAAAGGCAAGCCCCACTGGATTCCCTGCACTCAGCGATCCCTTCTCAGGCCGTGTGCCCCTTGCCAGCCCTCCTCCCCGCTGCCAAATACTGGCCCCAAACTGTTCTGGGCCTTGCAGTCCTTATCTCTGCAGTCTGTCCACACACCCTTTTTGGCAGTGGTTGAGAACAAATTCCACTCAAAAGTTTCTAACCACTTCACAAGAGTAAGAGACCTTCGAAGGCGACGCAGTCTGTCTTATCTAATAATAATTTTGAAAAGAATATGATTTACTTTCCCAGAAAACACATGGATGCAGCGAGGAGAGCGGGGACGACCAGCCGCCTTGATTGCCAGCAGCACCCAGCCCCAGGCCCCTAGCTCAGCTGCAGGCCCACTCGCTCCATCAGCCTGTGCCCTGTGATTTCCAGGCATATCCACACATTCTGCAAAGAATCCACAGCACTGGAAAACCAAAACTAGACTCTTGTGTTTCCCAAGCCCTTCAGTTAACATTGCTCAATGTAGCTAAGTGGAGAGAATGCAAATGATTTATATTTCACTGGCTAGGTTGAAGAAACTCAAGGGAGATGTGTTCTGCTTCAAGACAGGGGGAAAAAAAAATCCCCAAAACTGTAATGCAAAGGCTTTGTAGTATTTTTAAACCTTTGATTCAGTCCATATGCGACATCTGAACACCGCCAAATTCTGTCTATGTTTCAAAACACACACACACACACACACACACACTCACACTCACACTCTCCTAGTAGGGAAGAAAAGTTGGGTTTTAGGAGCGGTGGTGGTGGTGTAGGGAGGGCCGGCTGGGATCTCTCTTTAAATTATTTAGTATAGAGGAAGCCTCTTTCTATGCCATTCCGTGGGGGCCCGTATAAGCCGTTGGTTTTAAAGGGAAAAAGCATGTTGAAATGAACAGAAAAACTTTCAGGGGCTTACCTGGTTGGCCTCTCACTTCGTGTCCTGAAAAGTAGAGAGCTAAGAAAACCCAGGTGAGAGGAAACATATCCATTTTGGAGAAGGAGGCTTTCTCCAGAGCTGGATTTGTAGATTTCTTGTATAATTTTAAGTCTTTTTGTTTTCCTCTCTTTTGCTTTCTTCCTTACAGTGTCTTCTGCAAAGGTCTCTAATGGTCAGTGTTTCCCTCCTGGGTCGCGGCGGCCCGTCTTCACCTTATTCCTGCTGGATTCTCACCTCACTAAGAGGAGGGTGGCTCTTGAAATCAGCAAAGCGGGAGCAAGCTAGCAAGAGGGGACGGGTTTCCTCTCTTAAAAACAAAACGCATCTATGTCCTCTCCAGTTCCTCAAAGTATCATTTCCTTTATCCTACAACATCACGAAGATTTCCCGAAAGCCAAGCGTAAAAATAGATATATATATAATAATAATGACGATAAAAAGAAAAGCCCAGACTTGGCTTGGGCATCCCACGGTCCCCAGGCAGCTGTGCGATCTCAGAGGCGTAAACTGACACACATCCCCCGGCACCCGGGACCGACACGCGGGCGGAGGCAGCCACCGCCGGACGGCCGGAGTGGGAGGCGGCCGCCCAGCTCCTGCCGTCGCCGGGTTCCCCTAGCGGGAGCCTCCCCAACGACTACACCCGCTCGGCCAGCCCGACGAGGGGAGTCAGAGGAAAGAAGCTGCTGCGGCGGCGGCGGCGGCTGTGGCTGCGGCGGCGGCTGCTGCTGCTGGCGGGGCGGCGGCGGCGGCGGCTGGGATCGCCTGGGAGTGAGCGAGCCCCTCTCCGAGTTCGCTCGCGCCCGCCCTCACCTCCACCTCTCCCAGCGCCTCGCCGAGGTCTGCGCGTCTGAGGATGTGCCGGGGGCGGGCTGCGGGCTGGTGCCTCGCTCGCCTTCTCTGCTTCCCCTCCGGCTCCCCCCAGCCTTTTCAGGCCGAGCCGCATGTGGATGTCAGAGCCGCGGCAGAGCTATCCGATTACGCGCCGGCTCAGGGCCCGCCCCTTCTGTGTTCCTGATTAAAGAGGCAGCCGCGGAGACGCGCGGCGCACAAGTCAGCGCCGCGGCACCCGGCTCGGGCGGGGCGGCGGCGGCTCCCCCCCCCCCCCCCCGCCCAGCGGCGGCCCGATCAAAGTTGAGGCGGCTCCCATCCAGCCGCTCCTCTCCCACCCGCACCTCCCGCCCACCCCGGGCACCTCCCGCCTACCCCCGGCACCTCCGCGCCCGGCTGCGCCCGGCCGCCCGCGCGCAATGCCCCGGAGAGGGAGCACCCCGGGGCACCTCCGGGGCGCACTGCCCTTGGCCGCGCCGTCCCCGCCCGCGGGAGACTCCGCAGGAACTGCGGGCAATCCCTGCCCCCCACCCAAATTCCCGAGCTCCGAGGCCACACACGTAGGAGGCAGCACAATGCCACGCGCAATGGCGTTACAAGAGGAGTTGGGTGGCGTGCGGTGTTTAGTGTAGGGAACCAGGCGGCGGCTCAGCCATGCGTTCGCACAGGCAGCAGTGCGTGGCGGCGACACACACGGCCGGCCCCGGCTGAATACGACCCCAAACACTCGTGCGTTTACTACTCGGGTCCTTTGTTGTGTCCCAAACAGACTCCTCTGCTCGCTGGGTAAGGGTTCAGTTCTCCCTGCGCGCCTAACTCGTAACTATCAGAAGAAGAGAGACTTTATGCCAAGAATTTTTCAGGTAATTAAAATGGATTCCCCCCAATCGTCCCCCAAAGTACGGGTACGTGAAGGCTTCTCCTCCGAATGCTACTGTAGCTACTTCTATTCACCTTTTCCCCAGGGAAATGTGGTCACAGCGCGCCCGAGAAAGAAAACAGCATTATGCCACCTATTTTTAAATGGAGGTGTGAAAACTGTTTAGAGGGAGTTGTAAGCTAACAGCTGGGGAAACACTTGTATCTTTGTTTCTGAGGATGGCTTTGTGGATTCCAAACTGTCTTGCTTCACTAAGCACCTATTACTACATTATCCTAAAGACTCCAACAAGAACAGTCTAAATAACACTGGCGTGTACCTTCTCTGCCACTTGGCTGATGAAGAAAAATAAAGTTTCGGTGACAAGAAGCACACACACATCTGAAGATCCCATTTATTTCTTTGCTTGTACTTGTGGATTCTTCTGGGTGGTTTTCCTCCTTATCTGGACTTGCCATTAGCTTTGTTTATCACCTTTAGTGTTTGAAAAATCTGTAACTCCCACTTAACTGTTATTTACACTGAGATAACCAAAACAAAATTGAATCAGAAGTGATTTGCAATAGCTGAGCCAAGCCACGGAGGGATTTTACAGTGCTGTGTAAATCCACGGACCCCGTATCACACTGTTAATCTCAGATGCCTGGTTTGAAAGGGTATTTAACAGAGGCCTAGTGAGTTCTTCCAGGGAACATAACCCCTGGCTGGCCCAAAGGCTACCTTTCATTCCTTTCATCCCCCACCCCCAACCCTCTCTCTTCCTTCATGCCCTCCTTATTCCCTTGGCTTGAGAGCACATCTACGTTATTAAAAACTCCAGATTTACTTTTTCCCCCCTGTTTAAACATCAACTGTCAAGAAAGACCACCCCTCCCCAGTATTTAATAGGAGAAAGAGGCAGTCTGGATTTTGAACCTTCAGCAGAGATCCCAGCTTCTGTCCTTGCCAAGATGCTAACCTAAGGACAAGAAACACTACTATCTCTAGAGACACAGCCTGTATAAAGAAAGTCACTTAGTATCACCTCCCCCCATGACTCGCCAGGGGTACCAAGCCATTTGTGCTAACAAGTGCCCCACATGGAAGAATCCTGTTTCTGAGACCATTACAGCCAGGGTTTTGGTGAATGGCACAGGGAGGAGGAGGAGGAGGAGAGAGAGAGAAAACGTACACTGAAACCCATTGGGAAAGCATAAGAATGGCAGCTCTGGGCTCCTGCTCTTGGGGGTCCCGCTCAGGAGCTTCAAAGGTCCTTGGTCTGGTAGGGAGAAGGGTCAGTTGTGGTGTTCTGTTCCTGGACCTGATTCCCAGCATTATGGGTTTTAATTTTTCAGAGGTGTCCTAAAGAGGGAGCTAACTTACTTCCTGGCAGTCCTCAGCGCGACTGCTGCAAGACTTCTCATCAATCCACCCGAGGGAAGTCCTGATTTCCTGCAGTTGGGTAGAGGGTGAGCCTGGTTCAGAACCCTGGGGACTCCAGGCGGCCGGACCGCTCGTAATCCTCTAGGGGGCAGCACTCAATAAATAATGCGAATTCTACCTGCCATAGCGCTTCTGACCATGGTGCGTTTACTCCCCGGAGCTCAAAACCCTTTATTAGACCAGGAAAGAGAGAGAGACCGGATCTCCCCCCAGACCACGCTGAACAAGAGCCCACGGGCCCAGGGAGGACTTAGAATTTCTTTAATCCAGGACTTCCATGGACTAAACACAAATCTCACGTGGGCCTGATGAAAAAGAAATCTCCAGGGAAACTCTCCAGCCTGGGACTGGCTCAGACCTGCCAGCCCATTTTTGTCTAGACTTGGAATCTCAGGGGTTTGGCTGTAGTTGGTTTAGTTTCGACCAGAGGTTCAGCGGTGAGGAGCTAGGGTCTGTACTATTCATTATTTTGGGAGTCCGCAAACACTGCCTACTAAAGGACGAGTAGTGTGGATAGAAATGATGGGCTTGTTGAGAGAAAACACTGAACCAACCAGAAATCAGCTAACCAGTGAGTCTGAGATTCCTGGCAGCGTCACTGACTCACCTGGGACGTTTCACATCATTATCCTTAATTGTGAAATAATAATAGATAATCCCATCCTACATTCCATTCCTTTGACAGGAAGGGATGTGGGGAACATAAAACAGATTTGTAAAAGATGCTAAGAGAAAGCTGTAACCTGGCCACACCCCAGTGGAAAGATGGGTGTTCCCAGCTAGACACCCCACACCTGAGGGCCAGGGCACATCAGAATCACCCAGGGCAACTGTTAAAAATTCAGATCTCTGGGCACCATCTTCCTGCAAATCAGATTCCTTGGATCTAGGGTGGTGTCTGGGAATCTCTATTTTTCGACACATTTTAGGTGATTCTGATGCAAATGCGCAGCTGGCCAGCCATTGGAAACCTCTGTTCTGAGGTGTTATACTTACACAAGCCTTCCATGTATGTACTCCCATCAAAGGATACCTGGATAAGTGTTTCTCCACATTTTTTTCTCCAGGCACTTTTCAGATAGGGGGTAGATGTTTCAAGGAAAACATTGGAAAAAAACCTCCAAGAACATGTCTCTTAAAATGCCAGAGCAGTGGTATTCCCAGCTTTACCTTGTGACATTTATTTAGCAGCAAAAGCAAAGAGCTTTTTGAAAGCACCAAGAGCCTCTACATCTCGGGGGCAGGAGGTTTGCAAGAACATGTTCAAAGTGCTAGCTGCTGGGGTTTAAGGAGCTGGATCCAGCCCTTTCAGCGCCAACCCACTCAACCAATTGGTTGTTACTAAAGGTTTGTTTCAGGTATGGTTTTCCATCTGTGTTCATCACATTGTACTTATTAAATGCTCATGGAAGCATGACTATGCAGGAGGTGGGCAGGCAAATAAGACATTTGGGTCTTGCCTCCTGGGAACACGAAATCCAAAGGCTCCAGAAGTTTCGTGCTTCCACCCACAATAGACGCCACCTGTCACATGGTGCTTCCCCTTATCTGAGCACCGCCGCCGCCGATAAGCTCTCACCCTGAAAGGGGGAGATACCAGGCATAATTGCATCTTAATCTGTAATTTACTACATTGTCCTGGTTAATATTTAGCTACATCTGTCTCAGAGGCAAAGCCTCAGTTAAGTTAAATATAAGTCCTCATTTTTTATCCTCTCTTTTGTTTGAAGTGAAGTCCAGGTTTCTGGTCAATAGGTTTTGGGTTTTTTTTTTGCTCCACTCACTCCTTAAACAACGTTTTTCTTTGATTCAATACATTTGAATACTACTTAGTAGTTTCTACTTGATCTGACCTTCGGTGGGTTCCCAGAATCTTTACAGACTTCCATAAAATATAAAAATCTCCTTTACTCTAAATTGTGTCTATCTCTCATCTCTTTTTTGGACACGGACACTAGATCAGGTAGGACGGAACCTTACAAGTGGAAAAAAAAAAAAAACAGTAAGCAAAATGTGCAAAATTCACTCAAATATCCCGGAATCCTTGACAAAGAAAACTAAAGGAGGCACATCGCTCCTTCTAGTCTGCTTGGCTTAATGAGGCAGATCTCCCTCGGCCACACTGATTTTTGTACATTTGAGGCACCAGGATCGCCATCAACCCTTCTCTTCAGAACAGAATCCTCCAATACAACTTTAGGCAACAAAGGAGCTATATCTGTGCTTTTCCCATGGCGAACGAGCCTTTGAAATGTGCCTCATGTGACTGAGGAGCTGAATTTTAAATTGTATTTAACTTCCTTAAACATGTTTCGGATCCCCTCAAAAAAATACAGATTCCCTTTGTGTCTAGCGGCTCCCATGGGAGACAGCTCAGCTCTAGATACTCGAACACCAGAGCTGGAGATTCCCACAGAAGCCCAGAGACAGGCATGTAGTCTGTCTATGCAAATCGCTGAGGCTACTTTGCTTGTTCACCAAAAAGGGAATCCCAGT